TCCCTACACAGATGTCTTCATTATTTTCAAAACAGGTCAATTCTAAGTTTTGAAGAATGTCCTCAAGTCTACACTTCAAATGCGATTCTCATTCTGTGCATCTCCAACTCTTCCTTTTTACCCCCATGAGGTTCTGAAGATTTCAGCAGCCGCCGAGCAGACCCCACGATCTGCCTTCCTCGTGTAACGCTAGCTGCTGGGTAACGTCACGGCTGCTTCGTGTCTAAAATTTCACGTTGCTAATGCCAGAACTTCAGAGCTTGCTTAGATGCTCTTTAGCTTTGCCTATTACAAAACCCAGTCATGCACTTGTATCTCCAAAGTCCGAGGGGAGAAAAGGAGAATACACTCATTCCTCGCTTTTTTTTTTAATTAAATGGAGCCTATCATTTTTACAAAGAATTATATTACAATCAAAACAACATAGACTTCTTTCTCCTACTGTAACAGTTGCAAAGAAAAGGAAAACTCATTTAAAACTTTCCCACATTTATGGTTTACCAGACCTTCAACAACTCAAGATTATTTTGTGATCCCCTGTTTGTCCAAGTACAGTCAAGTACGCCAAGGTCTTCACTGTTATCCTTTACAATTATTCCACATGACAGTTCTTATGTTCTGGAAACTTTTACGTAACTTTCAATTTTAGATTAACCCACTAAGTCCTAATGAAATTATTGTCAAATACTTAAAGTCATATCCTCATCAGATCGAAGCAATGGGGTGTTTCATTACTTGCTGCACCAAAATGATTATTTAACCCTGGACATGTATAGCCTTCAAATAGGTGCTTTCTTTTGTTATTCCTTCCAACAAATGGCTGCTTGTTCTTTTTAAAAGAAAACTTTTCTTTAAGATCCTTCTTAATTAAGATCCAATGTTAAAATACCAAGAAGCTGTGCTATTTCTGAATGCACGAGAAGTCTATCTCCTGGCTATGTGAAGATATCTCAGCATTTGTGGTGCAAGGCAGTCACCTCTTAGTGCCAAACACCACGTTTCCTTCCAGTTTGCTGGCACCCGTGTACCACCCTCCGCTTCATTCAACATGCTTTACACCTTCACTTCTGCCTGCATTTCTAATCACAGAAGATGCACCTGAACAGTTGCATCCAATAAAATTCTAAAGTGTCAAGCAAATATACTCAAGTTTCAGCAGTGCATTGTAATTATTAATGAAGATACCTAATATCATGAAAACAGAGGTCTTTCCTGCTTGTGCATCTCTCTCCTATACACTTCTCAGAGTACTACAGTCACTTTCTAGACTTTGATTATATGAGCTTTAAAAAGAGACTTTCTTTTATTCTTGAAATTCATAGTTCCATTTTAAAGTACTTAAACGTGTACGGCAAAGCTTCCTTTCAATTTGCATTTATCTTTTAGCATTTCCACTACTTTAATGCTTAATGATTTTCTTCCTCTTAACATCCAGACTCTTTTTACCAACGACATCACTGCTGGGAATGCTCTCCAAGCTTCTAAATCAGCACCACAGCTGCTTTCTTTCCACCCTCCTCCCTGCTGAGCTGTTCAAACAGTTGCAGGGCAGTTTTCCTGTGGTAGCCTGGCTCCAGGGTTGTACTTGCCTGCTGGATGCTGTCCCCATTAACCATGTGAGGTAGCAGTGGCACTTCGTTCAGCAGCGGCGTCGCTTCCAAAGGAGGCGGCTGGTCGGCCATCATGGCTGGGGATCATTCATGGACAGCTGCTTGCAGGGACTGCCTGCTCAAACAAGAGGGAACCAATATCAGACAAGTCTAAACACAAAATAATTCTCCTAATACCCCTAAAGACAATTCTCTATTTTTTTCTTGCCAAAGCTGGTACATGTATTTCAGAAGATAAATACACCAGTTCCTTCAGGACACTAGTTTTTTTTTTTCTTTCCCGTAAAAGAAAGTCAAACATGTCCGCTGTGATATTAATGGATTTTTTTAATGATAATTCAGAAAATTTAAAAACTCTAATCATAAAGTATCATCAGATGTCAATACTTAAATTTCCCCAAAGATTTTTCAGATAAAATGACTTCAGTTGGAGACAAAAATTACTGCAAAACATCTACTGATAGTTTCATCGCACATTCTAAAACATGTGCAAACTAACAGCTTTAAAAGTACAGAGAGGAACTCAGTGATCCAACATACAAGTTTTTTATAATTATATCCAGAGTCTAAGATACCCTTCTGCTTTTCATTTTAAGTACCACATTCGAGCAGTACATATTCTTCTTCTAAAAATATGTTCTTGAAACACATATCATGTGCATTCAGCTCAGCACTCCATCAGTAATGTACTGATAAAATCAAAATATTGCCTTATAGGTGATGCAATTACATTCTGGCATAATTTACATTTACATAGCACCTCATTTTTAAATTTAGAGTTACAATTCATCAATTGTTCATACTCCAGAACTTAAGTTTTAGGAGAAACAACTCACATTTACATGTACGTATCAGTCCACAAGGTGATTAAAAAAAAAATTTCTCTGCTGCAGCAACATATTATTAATACAAGAAACCAACAAACTTAAAAACAAGAAAAAAAAAACCCACAAACAAAGAAAATCAACAATAGAGAAGAGAAAGAGAAGAGAATTTTGAAAAACATGTTTAACGAAGTATCATGAAGACTGGTAAATGGAAAAGCACTGTATAGTTCCAGTGCTTGTCCTGTACAATCCATAATTACAGAGAGTTTATGATACAGTCCAACTGGTAAAGGATTTTCAGTGTATCATTAATTCAGCATCCATAAAAAGCACAAGATAACAGGATGCAGGAAATGCTGACATTTCCTCCTTCCTTCCCGTTACCTCCTGTAACCCACACGGACAACCAAACTGCACTTAGGATATTCCAGTTCACTACATTTATAAACCATAACAAAACAAACAAACCCTGAACTGCGCATAAACCGAGTCAGTCTATACCCAACTGCTAAGACCTCATTCAGCTCCATATAACCAATGCGGAAACAACAGTGGCAAGGGGAAGGGAGAAGAAGGAATATTCCTGATCCATTCAGCGCTTGCAGGATGGCATCTTCACTAGGTCAGCTATATAGGAAGAAATATCATAGCCTGACTGTTACCATTTTTCTAGCGATAACTTATTCCATTCAGAAAAGGTCTCTAATAAGCTTTACAAGAAGATCTTCTGGTATTAGAAAGGTAAAGAGGCTGACAGCACCCATCTTTAAAAAGATATTCTCCTTTGCAGAAGCATCTTAAAATAACCGTTGCAGTCAGAAAGCCATGAAATTCCAGATTTTGAAACACTCAACACTGCCAAAGAAATAAGCTCCTTCTACACACCAGTTGTTTTCCAGGTCTGCTCCAGCAACAGTATTTTAAGAGACCAATACCAACGCACAGGTGCAAGAGCTGGACAAGACCTCGGAAGTTTTAATTTGAATCAGATTTGTCCTAAACATACCTATACTAGCATGTTATTTATTTCTCGAATAATCTTCCATCCATTCACCTGATTTCAAACAACTGCTGCCAAGAAAATATATGCAGATGTACACAACTATTTCACTTAAAAATATCTGTATTACAACATTGCCAGCCACCATGCTAAAATTGAGAGCAGTTGTATCCACTACAACTTTATTTTTAGAGGTTTGTAGCTAAATCTTAAGAGAAATTGCTTCCCTAATAGGAACGTGGTATACACAAGCAGATTAAGAAAACTTACACATGTATGTGTGTGCACACTCATGCGCGTACACATGGGCAGCTTTTTTTTTTCTTTCTTTCTTTCTAAGAACCTCAGAGGTGACAGAAACTGGCACCTAACAAAGGGGAAAGCCCCTCGCCAGCGAGCTCCTAAATACACATGCAACTGTTCAGCAAACTAAAATAGTCAGCTGGGGAAAAACGTGTTCTGAAACAAGTCCCAATACCACCTGCAACTTTAAATAAACGTTTCAGGTTTCTACTCTGGTCTGCCACACTGCTGCATCGTGAGCTCCAGGGCTCTGCCTGCACTGTCAGCAGTGCATCCACGCTGTCCCGCTGCAGGAGCCGCTCCGGGTATCCCATACAGGATGGGAATCGCATGCAGGAGCGCGGGGGGACTGCGCCACGTGTCCTCCTGCGACGCTCCCTCCAGCGCAGCTTCAGCCCAAGGAATCCAGCTTGGAGGCACCGAGGGCTCACCGCGAGGCAAGGATGCATGAGGTGGAAGCAGCTCAAAGACTCACTTCCAGTGCACAGCCCCCTGATCGAACTAAGCCACAAAAACACCCTGAGAATACACCCACCTTCAACCTTCAGACAGGAAAACTCCTGCTGCATATTATGCTGAACGGTGCTTGTTTCCGCTGTTGCAACTTGTAGACACCCTATTGCTGCAACACAGAAATAAACAAGAACAGCAGATCGAATTCTACATGTCTAGGGTCCTGAACGTAATTCCTAATTACACAGAGAGGATTTATAGTCGTGTACGCACACAGCTGTGTTTTACTTCATACTGGAGCTTTGAATTTTTCAGATTTCAATTTCAAAAACAGCAAATGCAATTTCATGGTTTTTGCAGGAACCTCCATATGGCCAGAGAACATGGAAGTATCAGCACAAACGAAACCACTTTAATAAATCTTGGGCAGTTTCATGTGACTGAAAACGTCACATCTTGCTGTACAGCTGAGGTCAGAGGCTGCAAACAAACAAAAGGAAGATCCCACTGAAGAGCAGTAGATTTTGCTAAAAAATTAATACTACAGATCACAGCTTCAGTTGTTGAAAATAGTGATAAAGGGGCAGCAAAACACATTGCTGCACTCAAAGGTACTGTCTCTGCTGGAAAGCGAACATGGGACTCAACCCCTCACCAGATTAATGGGTAAAACTTTTTTGAGAAAACAGAGCACACCAGAACATGATACCCAGAGGTCCCCACTCCTCACGCTCCATTTCATTAAAAGTAAGTGGCATTTAGATAAAATGACTACTTGAAACACTGTTGCATACTTAGCAAAATTGCCTGAAAACAAAAAATTATAAATCTTGCTTGAAAAGCCACTTCTACCCTGCTAGTTTATTTGGTGATCATTTCATATTTGGGCATAAAATCCTATTTGCAGCAACCTCTTATTTCAAGATTTTTTTTTTTTTGCTTGGTAACCTTTCCAAGCTTTCTAGCCAGAAGTGAATATTTAAAACTCAAGAGCAATGACTTAACCCTCGTGAAAGACTGAAGACTTCCTGGAAGAGCAAGATCAAATGTCAGAGTGGCCAATTCCATTCTCAAAATTCTCCTTCGGAGCATTTATTCTTTCATTTTCATTAGACAGAGTGTTGAGGGGAGGCAGGAGAATCTGCTCAAACTCCCATCTTCTCCCCCATAAATTAAAAGGTGCTGTTTAGCTTCCTTCATTAGCTTTCTCACTCTTGTACCCACTGGCATCGCCCCACATAAACTGTATTACTGCTCTGTAGTTCCAGGATATGTTCTTCAAAAATACTAGGAAATAAGCAACAGTGAAATGTTACCGAAGAAGAATTTGCCTGGTAGTTACAGTAACTAAACATAACATGAAATCACACAGAATGAATCATACAAAGCATTAAAAACATATTTTTTCTGTAACTGTCTTGAACCGTTGCTGAAGCTCAGGTTTGAACCTGAAGTTTATATCAAAGATTTCTGAAGTCGATCTGAAACAGGAAAGAAACTCCAACTATTGGTTCCCGATAAGGAACCTTACTGAAAACACGCACGCTGCATCGAACGGTTTTATATTCACTACCCACCCTCTTCTACTGCCAGACGAGGTGCAACAAGGACCCAGCCCTGCTCTCCTCCAACTCAGCCCCAACTCTTACCAGCTGAAGGATCAGAACTGCAGCGGGAGGGAGGGAAGCAGCCTGAGGCAGGAATAAAGGCAGGAACGAGGATCCTGGACAAATCTCCTTCCACAGCTCCCACAGGCAGAGCCCCACCAAGGCTCACAGCTTCCCTCAGTTTCACCCCAAAGACAACACAAGGCAGCAGGAACGGGCAAATGCAGCTGACAAATAGTGTGTAGCCCAAGAACAGGCTCACTTTTAGCTATAACTGAATAAGCTTCTTGATTCACTCCCCTAAAGGTTAGTTATTAAATCTAGTACATGCTTGGTGGTAGAGGCTCAGATTGCTTTTTTTTTTCCAGGCTCTATTCTTGGTAGTTAGAAGTCTAAAGTTTATCACCGCTATCTAGTGTTCAGAGTGGGCATGGGAATGAGAAAAGCATTTGCACAGAAAATTCACAGGCTATGCCTGACATTAAAGATGACCTAATATACAAACTCTGAATTTCCCAACTAAATAAATCTGAAACAAGAAATAAATTCCATCCACAAGCAACAGGGACAAAAGCAAATGCCATAGTTTTCAGAGTTGCAAAAGGACATACTGAGAATTAATGAGTCATTATATGTGAATCAATAACAATCTGCAGCTGCATCTTGTGGGGCTTTGTCACCATGCACTGGAGGGTTTTCTGAGTTAATATGGAATTAAATAGATTACCAGAAAGGTTAGATTTTGCAAGGGTACTTCTTGTGATTCATTTCTTTACAATGATTTCTAGAACATGTCACCTAAAAGCCATTCTCAATCTCTGGTTGAATGGAAGGATGAATTAAAACCTATATAGCATGACAGCTATTAACAAAAAATAGAGATTTGGCTGCCTCAGAAGCACACCTT